ACAGAAGATCAAAAGGCTTGGGTTTTTGATGATACCATGGAGCACATGTAACATCCCTAGAACTGCTCACTTCCTGATTGAGCACCATAAATGTCCTTATGTTTTAAGTCAGTGATACTCAAGGCTTTTTTTGGGGGGTGTGGGTACCAGGGATGAACTCAGGGGCATTCAACAACTGAGCTCCATCCTCAGCCCTATTTTGTATTTTATTTAGAGACGGGGTCTCACTGAGTTGCTTAGCCTCACTTTTGCTAAGGCTGGCTTTGAACTCACAATCCTTCTGCCTCAGCCTCCTGAGCCTCTGGGATTACAAGCATATACCACTGCACCTGGCTCAAGACTTTTTTTTAATTTGCTTTAATTTGTCCTTGTTAACATGCTGCTCCATCATAACCATCAAAACTTGTTTTGTCCAATGCTTAGGTGTCAGGGATAAGAGCAGTAATTAGGAAATTTTTTTCTGGATTTCAAAGTTTATTTCAAATTATCCAGTATGGCTTTGTGACATAGATTTTTAAATAATCATGAGTTTTGAAAAGTAATTCTCTTCATAAAAGAACATTTGTTGAATGACTATGCATGAATGAAAGCAGCTGTTTCACTCCCAGTCAGCTACTTACTTTGCTCCTCTGCCTCAATCATCTTCTTCTGCTTATTATATAACTTCTCCTTTGTTTCAGACTATCTTTCTATTCCCTCTCCTTTTAATCCCCATCTGACCCCAGCTTCCTAGCTTAGCTCCATTCTGCTCACCACATCCTCCCTGCATAAGTTTAGGCCCAGTCAAAATGCCTGACTGTGTATCATTCCCCAAACTCACCTGCATCCTCTAGTCCCCACTTTGTGCCTTCAAAGCCCAGTCTCATTTTGCAGTTCTCCTGGGAACATGGGTGTAGCTTAGTGGTTTAGCCCTTGCCTAGGATGCACAAGGCCGTGGGTTTGGGTTTCATCCCCAACAACACACACACACACACACACACACAAACATACTTGATGGAGTTGTCCTGAATGTACCAGTTCTTCTTATCATAACTCTTGCTTTTCTTATGGCTCTGATCATGTTCTACCTTGGCTTATGGCTTCATAAGCAAAGGTTTCTTTCTTCCCTACCATATCATAAACACCTTAAGAACTGGATCTGCATCCTACTTTTTTATTGATTTAAAAAATAAATAAATACATGATAGCGGAATGCATTACAATTCTTATTACACATATATATCACATATATATTTCATATCTCTGTTTATATATAAAGTATGTTGGCACCCAATTTGTGTCTTCATACATGTACTTTCGATAATGATGTCCATAATATTCCACCATCCTTGCTAATCCCCTGCCCACTCCCTACCCCTCCTACCCCTCTGCCCATTTCTTTTAGCTTTTATTTTTATTGTTCTTTTGAGATTGCATCCTATTTTTGTCTCCTCCACAAGTAGCAGGCACTGTTCAAGCAAATTCTATAAATTTGTGGCATACTAGTTAAGCCATGTCCATCCCTTGGAGACAGGAAAGCCAGAATTCATATCTGTCATTTGCTTGGGGTGTCAACCACTGGCAAGTCACCTAACCTCTCAGAGCCTCAGTTTCTCTATTTTTAAAATAGACTATAATAGTCTCTACCTTAGAGCATTGTTGTTATATCTCTTGGAAAGAGACAATGCACATAGACTATTTGGTGAAGAGCACGGCACAGAGTAAACATCCATTAGGTAGTTGCTATTATTATTATTATTATTATTATTATTTTGTGGTGCTGGGGATTGAATTCAGGGCCTTGTGCATTCAAAGCAAGCATTCCACCAACTGAGCTATATCCCCAGCCCTGCAATTATTATTAACAGGTATTTTTGAATGAATAAATATTATCATGGAGACAATAAAGATTGATATTCTCATAGATAATTATAAACTGTGCCTAATAGACTATGCTGGAAGGTTAGAATTGTGCACACATACATGACACCATGCATCTTGTTATATGCCCATGTAAGGATCTTCTATTTTCACAATATTATAGTAGAGGCTATGGCAGATTGACAATGAATCTGAAACCATTTATTTGTTTGAAAAAGTAGCTAGGAGGAAGTGGAGGCTGCATTCTTATTTGCATGTTAATGATGTTAGTTTGCCTAAATTTGGAAAATATAGCATTCAGGTCAGGACTCTGGGTTGCCAACCTCAAAAACTCTAGATAATTAAAGCAAAAAAGGAATTTATTGGCAAGATCTCTGTGTGTGGGGGTGGGGAAGGACTGCAGTCACAGAATCACCAGCAAGCTGAAGATCCAGGCTCAAAAAATGGTAGCCAACATGATGCAGCCAAAAAGACCAGATGGTTGCCCTCAAGGGGGCCCTGTGTCCCCAGGACACCCATTGTCACATTGCTATACTCTGTTGCCCTGACACTGGCCTGCCTCAGCCTCTGGGCTTTTGATTGCAGTGTGACCACAGGGAATAGCCTTTGAATATATGCAGGCCTTGGTCACTCTTCCCAAATGGCTCCTCTGGTGCACCAGGATAGGTCACACCTGCTTCCTCCAGCTGCCCTGAGGAAGGGAGAGGAATCATCTGTTCCTTCGGTTTCACAGCAAATAGGCAGGTCCTGTCAACCACCTGCCTTGGGCTTATCCACTCCACTAGGAGTGTTTAGATGCTGGATGACTCTTACAAATGTTCACTAGGGTACCCAGAAAAAGAGATGCAACCTGAAAACAGAACCAGAAACAAAAAGCTCAGAAGTGGTCCCTTGAAGGATTTCCCATGGAGCTGGCAGACATCTGTTTCAGCAAACTCTTCCTACCCTGAGCGAATATAAAATAACTGCAGGGGCATTTTCTTTCCTTTTTGCATAGATGGAAATGTAAAGGGAACCCCTTCTTTCCTGGCAGTATTAGTAATGGCCAGCAAAGTTACCATATGGCAGAGTGACATTTCTAAAAAGCATGGTGATGTGCTGAAAAGATTTGCTGTTGCCAGATACCTATTGACAGGCTTAGAAATAGGTCCCCTGGAGCCCAATGGGCAGAGGCATAGCGTCCCTCTTGAAAGGGGCGGCAGATGGTAGTCTTCACCACCCCTGACAGAATAACGGCTGGAGGAAGCTGTGGGGCTCCATCTGGGAGACAGCCTGTCTTCTGTGGCCAAGTCAATGTGTGTGCAATCTTTATACTTTCTGTGGTGCACTCTTAGAAGGGAAGATCATAGAAGACTGGAAAATTCTGACCAGGAAGAACCACACCTTTTCAAGTTGCTTCACAGCAGATAGGGTGACCTTGAGAACCTCAAGGTGAAAGATGGTAGGGTGGAGTAGTGAGCATAGGCTGAGAAAGCCATGAATTGTTTCTTAGGAGAGATGAAAGATGAATGGACAGTAAGCTCTGATATTTGAAAATGTTGGTGGCCAAAGACTTCATTCTCCCTCCCCATCTGACCCACCAAATTGAGCCAGAAAATGTATTCATGACTGTTTCCATGGTTCTTACTCAGCAACAAGTCATTTCCCCTTTCAGATTATTTCCATTTTTAAGGCCCAATTTCCATTTGTTTTTTGATCTTCTGTTTTTAAGACATTGAGCCAATATCATCATCAGCCAAGGGCCAGGTTTTCTTTCAAGGCTTCAAACTTATCACTTTTCCTCTATCCCCCTAGGTGGATTCTGTTTGTGACTGGTCCAAGGTAGACAGGGTTTTCCAGGTAGAGCAAAAGGAAAGGGACTTTTTATTGAAAGGTAGAGGCAAAACTGAAAAAAAAGTTTCTGGCATTGAATAATGATTGAGCCCAGGGAAGTTCTACCACTGAGCTACATCTCTAGTCTTTTTAAATTTTTTTATTTAAAAGTAAGGTCTTGCTTAGTTGCTGAGGCTGGCCTTGAACTTGCAATCCTCCTGCCTCAGCCTCCTAAATCCCTGGGATTACAGGCATGAACCACTGCACCCAACTAAAACTGTAAATTTCAAGGTGGCTCTTGTAAACATCAGGGGCTGTTTGGAGCAAAGGTTCTATGGGAAAATAATAATGTGATCATCAATTTATTAATAAGTAGTATAAGGTCTGATACAACAGAACATGATGTTTTGGGCAGCAATGGTTACTTGCTATTCCCAAAAGAAATTTCTTCTTAAGTTTGTGACATATTTACTCTTTTGTGAAATCTGTGTTTTGAAATATATTATTGGTTTAATTCTTCATCAGTACTAATAAAACAAATTATTCTGAGACTGAGTTTATCTGATATTTAAAAGCTCATAAGTGGTTCTTTGTATTTTCCACAAAAATCACTGACAGTTTTCCGTCTTAATTTTAAGCTAAAGACAAGATTTATGAAATATGTCCCTTTGTGGACCCATGGCTCATAACATAGTTTTATTCAGCAGCAGGTCCTTAACTCACACACATAGTTACCTTTGTCATTTTTCTACTAATTGTGAGGGGGTAGTTTGGCCTTACCTGTTAGTCACACCCTCCCATGTCTCAAGGAGTCACAGACCACAACATTTCTCATTATTTCTAAATCTGATCAAAAGTTTTATTCTAAAGGATGCAGATGAAGGTGCTTATTAAAGTGCCATTGTGAATTTAATCATATATATGCTGCTAAAAATCATTTAATGCATGAACAACTCGGAAAAAAGAACTCTTGCCACCCACACACATCGTGATAAAATAGGGCAGAAGCATTTTGCACTTGCTTCAACAGCTTCGCCTGAGAAAGGTTTCTGATGTCCATCTTTCCCCTCACTTACTTAGCATTTCAACTTCATCCCAGTCAGCTGCTGAATCATTAAACAGAATGCCACCAGTCTTTGTATTTCCAAAACTGTGTCTCTATTGTGGACTGCACATCTTTATGACAGCCACATGCTTGCAAAAGAATTAAAGTCAGAGTATTCATTCAGCCTTGTATTATTTTCAGAATACAAAGGGGGGGGGAGAGAGAAAGAAAAGAAAAAGAAAGAAAAGAAAACTTCCTTGTTCTTCTACGCTGTTCCCATGGTAAGATGCTCCGTGGAAAGGAGCCTAGCGGTGGGCAGCGGCTGTGAGTCCCGATAACGAGCGCCTCACATTTCCGTGCCATTCCCATTTGCTAGTGCGCTGCTGCGGCCGCAAGCCTGATTGATATATGCCTGCAATGGCACTTTTCCATTTGACATTCTCTCTCACTCTCTCTCTCTCCCTCTCTCTCTCCCTCTCTCTCCCTCTCTCTCTCTCCCTGTGTCGCTTAAACAACAGTCCTAACTTTTGTGTGTTGCAAATATAAAAGGCAAGCCATGTGACAGAGGGACAGAAGAACAAAAGCATTTGGAAGTAACAGGACCTCTTTCTAGCTCTCAGAAAAGTCTGAGAAGAAAGGAGCCCTGCGTTTCCCCCAAGGTAAGCAGGAAAACAAGCGCTGACGGCTTGCCTAGGAAATTACTTCTTTCCAAACCGAGCATTTCATCCTCCTCTCAGACAAAGAGACAACCTTTAAATACCACTGAAATTTGCATTACTTTCATTTGCATTAATTTGTAGCTTGCTAGCCTTGTGTTTTTCAAATGAACGGGTCTTTGAAGTCTGTGACAGAGCAGGGAGCCTCCCAAAGAAGCTCGAGAATATCTTTTTTATTTTTTTGGTTTGACTTACATTTTCTTTCCAAACTCTCTGCGTAGTTGGATGTAACTTTGTAATGGTTCTTATATTTGACCCTGAAAAGGGGACAGAGAAGCAGCAACTTGCTGACATGGATTCCTGGAGCCCAGTATCTTCCCTACCGCCCTCATCCCTCTTACAATGGGGGCACTATTAACGCAGGCTTCCCCTGCGAGGTAAAACGCGCACTGTTTACTTTTATTACTACTTCTGTGTGCTGCTGATCTCCTGCCAGGGCTGTGCCGGAGTGCTCAGAATGACTTCAAACAATAGGCAACATTTATTTCTAGCTTTTGGTGTCAAGCTTTGCAGGAATCCTGCTCCTTTGCATTCTTCTCTCAACGCGCGCGGGACTCCGCATCCATAGATGCATTCGGGAGCCCGGGGGAGAGATGAGGATGGGTTTGCTGTATGATTTTGATTGGGCAAAATGTCCAAGGAAATGCATGCTGTTTGCCTTGGCCTTATTGCAAGGGGCTATTTTTAGTAGTCAGCTTGTCCCTGCAGCATGATGAACGCTACATTGTCCAAGGAGTGATGGGGAAAGGATGCTCCCACCAGCACAGGGACCAGGACCTGAAGGAAAGACTCCTAAAGACACCTGAGGAATATTCGGAGGATCCTTCCAAACTCCCGAATACAAATTCTCTCTTTAAATGAACAATTGAGCTGTGGGAGGCCTGGGCATAACTCTTTCTTGGGGGACGGGAAGTTTGATTGTGTACAGAATGTTAATGACTCAGAACGCACAGTAACTGAGGCTCATTGTAATGGACAAATCCAGATAACCCTCCACAAAAGAGACAGCCTCCCATCTCTACTGAGATTCAGGTGCGGCAAAGGAAGTTATTTGGCAAGATGAGAGTCCCTCCTACTTTCTTTGTAACTGTCATTGCTAAAAGCCTTGGCTACTACAAAGCATGCCTCTTTTCATTTGTGATATTAGTGCATTTTAATTACAAGGAGCTAGCACGGGCAAATTGCTTCAACACATAACATTAAATACCAGATGCATTTGAAAGCATAGAGATATCTAAAATGCAGTTTTGGCTATGGGGGTCAACTGAATACAGTGGGGATTGCAGAATGCTTCTCAATTGAGCTTTTAGACTAGATACAAATATCTTGCTCATTTTTTTTTCTCACCAGTCTAGCTTCTGAAAGTGAACTTCAGAATCCTATCGACTGATTTTCTTTGCAATGCGGGGACACAATTTATTTGGAACTTTTCTGATTTTCTTTAATAACTAGCCTAACAAACATTGTTGAATGAAAAATATGACTTTTGGATGAGTTAATTTACAACTTTGGGATATTCACTACTCAAGAAAGCCTGTAAGAAACATACTATGGATTGTATTGCTATAAAATTTGACGGTGATTTTCTTAAAAGTACCGCTGTTAGCAAAGCATTTAGCTGACTCAAAACAATTTTCTTAAACTATTATTCAGATCATTACATGAGAGTTTTGAACACACAATGCAATGTATTATATCATTTATTTTAAAATACATTTGTTTCAGGTAGGGGAGAACTAGCTGAGGTCTTATGACTGGTGACCAAGCAGCTGACACCCACAGATGGAAAAGTGCCTGTGGAGTTTTCAATCTTAATTCAACTTCCTATGACACTGTCAAGGGAAAAATAAATCATTTTTCAATACCTTTAACAATTTCCAACTCATTTATTTTCCTGGGTCCTTGAAAAATGTGGTGAGTTTTTCAGAATTATAGCCACCAATGGTGGCCAGCGAGTTTCACTCTATTTTAAAAACTCACAAATCAGCTACTATCATTCTTTTTTAAAAAATTTAGTTGTCAATGGACCTTTTTTTAAATTTTTATTTATTTATATGTGGTGCTGAGAATTGAATCTAGTGCTTCACACATGCTAGGCAAGCGTTCTACCACTGAGCCACAACCCCAGCCCCCAGCAACTATGATTCTTACTAGTTAATTATTCATTCAACCATTTAAAATAAATATTTATTAAGCATTTGCAATATGCCTAGCACTGTGCTAGTCTTGATGAATGAGAAGGTGAATGGGACATTGTCTTGTACCCTGACTCTCCATGCACATGCTCTTTCCAGTTAGATTTTGGTACTGAAATGGGCTTTACCAATGGGCAAACAGAGCTTGAAATTTCTGGTTATAAGGAAGCTTTAAAAATAGCTGCTGGTACCTAGATTTACTTGATAAGATTTTCACTTATCAATGGCCTTTTTTTCCATTTATGATTGAAGGGTTCCCTTTAAGACTTCATCTCTAGATCAGGTATATCTCACCTGCACAGCTAAAGTGGCCTGGATCTTACCAGACTGAGTAGAAGAAGCCTGGAAAAAGAGCAATTTATCCTTGCTCTGCTCTCTTGAGCACCCTTTGGAAAGGACCACATGCTGTCTCTATGGTGGTAGTGGGAGGAATGGGTGTGAGTCACCTACTCAGCAGCTGACATCAGGGCCATTTGATGAATCATTGAATTAGAAACATGCATGGAGAAAGATGCAGTCACTATCTCCCACCACTTACTTGTCCTACTCTCAGGATCCATGAAACCCATGACCTCTGGGCTTGGCCTAAATTCAAGAGGTCCCTGGGACAAAGTTGCCAGAAGTTGTTCGCCAAAAACAGGTCTCTGAATCACACAGAGTGCTGCTTTCCAATGACCCAGTTTGGTGTTTTATCATGGGGTTAGGTTACTGGGGTGGGGGAGGGAACCTGAAGATAGCATCACCGGGGATCTTGATTTGGTCCTTATCAGTAGATAATCCCCTGTGGTTGGATTAAAATGCCTCTGACTCCCTTGGGATGCCTGACTCACCCTAGCCAGCCCTCAGCTTCTTGGCTTCATCACCTTTGAGTCCATCCTCACCTCTTTCCATGACAGTCAGTTAATGCGACTTTGGCCTTGCAGTCCATCAGGAGCAGGGGATGGGGAGGCAGGTGGAAAGACTGAGAAGTGCTAACACCAAGGGGGGAAGTGGGGCTGTTGGAGGGTGAGTGAGCTTCAGGGCCCGAATTGCTGTGACCCGTCCTGGCTGTGATCAGCTGTCATTTCCTCTTCGTGTATGACACTGTGGAACATATTAAAATTTCTCTAGGATGGTATGTTTGGAATTCCTCTGATGCCCCACCTCACCAGCTTACCCGGACAATAAAAGCAAGGTTGTAAGCCTTTGAACAGCTGGCTGGCTATATATTTCCCCTCTTTCTTTCGCATAATCTAATTCAGAAAAGAATTCAGCTAGACTGGCAGTGCCATGTCTGGGTACTTGTTTCCTGCAAGTCCTTCCTCCACCACCTCCTCCCACTGCTCGCCCTGGAATCTTCCTGGGTGGCATGTGGCTTTTCTTTTCTTTTGCTCACCACTGCTCCTAGCCCGCCCCCTTTTCCCTTCGCCTGAGCTGCTTCCATTGTGAACTGCTCTTTGCTGGGTCTGTTTTCCAGACAGCCTGGGTCCTGTTCCATCCGGGGAGAACAGCCCATGCGGTCTCCTCATCTCCATAGTATTCCCAGGATGTCATTCTTGGCACCAGTTCTGCGGGGTTGATAGGATATGGGGGCTTTTTGTAGCCCCGAGCCTGAACCCACTTGCAGAGAGGAGCAGCCACGTGGCTCTCCGAGAGCAGGACTGGAGTGACCCGGGTTGGCAGGGATGAGCATACCATCATGGTGACCCGAACATCTCCGGCAAAGGCCCGGGGGTGGGAGTGCTATGGGAATGCCTGGATGCACTTCGGCCCACATTAAGAGAAATGTGGTTATTCTCTGTTTCAGGGGGAGAGACAAGTGATTTGGAACAAAGCTCCCCGGATCTCTGGCCCTGCCCTGCCCCCCTTCCTCATCCTTCCCACGTCCTCCCCTCCCCAAACAGAAAGGAAAGACAGGATTTTTAATTTGCCCAGCCCAGGCCTGAATGTCTTTATGAAACCCTTTTGGTGGCAGGGAAAGGGGAGAAATAGATTCTGGGTTGAGCCAACTGAAAATGCATGAGGCTTTGGGGATGGGGAAGGACCTTTCTTTCTCTTAATAACAGAACAACGGTTTGGTTGATGAGTTGCAAATGGAAGGTACTGGACTTCTCAATTAGAGATTCCCATTTAAGACCCTCCCTGTTCAGCATCCTTAAAAGATGCTGCTAATGTCCTTGGGACCAAGAGGTATTAAGGAGCAATCTACAAGGCAGATTCCTATTCCTTTTCTTCTCCTGGGGGCTTTGGTTGTGTTTTCCGAATTAGCTAACATTCATTAAAAGACCCAAAAGGAAAAATTTAACACAGCTGAATTAAAATGAGTCTTTTCCTGTTAGCTTGACAAGATGTGTGTGTGTGTGTGTGTGTGTGTGTGTGTGTGTGTGTGAGAGAGAGAGAGAGAGAGAGAGAGAGAGAGAGAGAGAGAGAGAGAGATTGAGATTGAAGAAAGAACTGACTCCCCTCTGCTGCCACTTCTTGGGTTTTAATATGAATTATTCCATACAAGTCCCTAGGCTAGAGGATCTATTTAAAGACGCCTGGCAGCATGAAGGGAGAGGGTAAAAATACAACCACTCTTTTGTCCATCGAAGGTTTTCTTTGGGAGGACATTAAGAGCATTCCTGTTTTCCTGTCTGCCCCTGCCAGTGGCAACATGCCAGTTGGTAGTACCCACTCCTCACCCATCAGATCAGCAACCATGAAGTTCTATGTTCATTTTGGGAACAAACAAAGGGTGGGGAATCCTTCCGGAAACCCCCACGTGTG